TATTATTATTATTATTATTATTATTATTATTATTATTATTATTATTATTATTATTATTATTATTATTATTATATAGGCATAGTAGTAAGCCAAAAAGTGGCATATCATTTTATTCGATACTGCAGTGCTGATTCTAACCACTGTGCCACCACAGCCGACTCTGGCATGGTACCTTGTCATGTGTTCTGCTCATTCTCCCGAATAGGCATTTGTTAATCCTGAAGATACAACATCGTTTGGAAAAGGAGAGAATGCGAAAAAATATCTAAGGACCGATCCTGATGTGGAACGTATACGCAGGTAATTCTGGAGCTTCTTATCCAGGACACACATAAAGAAAAAAATACATACATGAGATGGTAGAGTGTAAGAGGCATGTGTCCACACTTTATTTCAATCACTGGCTTAGAAAAAATACTGATAGCTCCGTCCCTCGGTCCATTAATAACTCTCTTGTTTCTTTGATGATCCTCTGTAGGGGTGAGCAAAATGTTCCGTGACTGTTTGCTTCCACACCCCTGACTCTCCACTCTCTTGGCCGTGTTTATGATGGCCTGTGCTATTGCAACTGTCTCGAGTTTGCATATTTAATTCCCACTGTCAATATGCCTTTGAATTCACAGCAGAAATGGGCAGCAGCATGTATTGGCCATGCTATTCTTCCGCTGCTGATCTCTTGAATACAATTTGCTGCTTCCCCTTTTTGTAGCAAAAAAAAAAAAAATGAATTGGAGGGAAGGATAAATTATCCCAAGGCTGATCCTAGGATCATCTTGTTTCGCTCAAATAGAAAAAAAATGAAGCTCAAGTTTTTATTTGGATATATTTATGACCTCATGAATAGGTGGCCCTTAATCTAGAAGATAAATCAGCCATTTTTCTTTTGAAGATTAATGTGAGTTCAAGAATAGCTGTTAATGTGACCAAATAGGGAAATCCTATGATTGGAACTGTCTTTATGCCAGGACTAGCAAATCTGGGTTGCAAAAACCAACGCCGCCACTAGGTGGTAGCAACAGCTTTTTGTGACCCCCCTAATGGTCATTTGGAATGTTACAGCTCAGATGCAGTGATTCTTTCTGCCCCTTTGCCAATATGCAAAGTTCTCTCCACAATTTTCCCAAGTGTTTGCACAATAGATACGTAGAGTTGTGAGCTACCATATTTTGAGCAAGGGTTCTTCAAGATGTCTCCAAATTAAATGCTGAGGGATGCTTTCAGGTGTCTCCAACGGGGCAGGCCTTGCAATCTCAAATTGAGTTTGGTGCGATTGTCATGTTTCTCAGAGTTGAAAGGCAGATTCTCAGTTGTAGCACGATGTAGACTTGGGCTCCAGCACAAGTCTGAAAGCTCAGAAGACTAAATCTCTGGTCCCAGTCACCGACCTAAATTGGATCCTGCAACATTATCCTGGGACACATATATTGGCTTTCATTCATAAAGACATTTTGTTGGTGCCAAATATGAAGAAGCCTCTAACACTGTGAATCTCCTTTGCTTTTTTCCCTAGAATCCATCTCAACGACCTGGAGAACATTTTTCCATTTATTTTTGCTGGGTTTTTCTACTCTATGAGTGGTGTGAACCTCTCTACTGCTTTGCTGCACTACCGGATTTTTCTTGGTTCTAGGATCTTCCACACCATTGCTTACCTGATACCTCTTCCCCAGCCCAGTAGAGCTTTGGCTTGGATGGCTGGTTACTTAGTCACCTTTTCAATGATATACAGGGTTATAATGATGGCTTTCGTTACGTCTTAGAAAAGAAAGCTAATACTATTTTCAGCCTGTTGTACTTTGCAGGGTGCCTTATCCAGCCAATAGAAGAGAATATATTTAGCTCTGGGTTGAACTGTGGAGTCCTTGGTGCTTTCTGAACTTGTTTGTTTGTTTGCAAATGTCACATTACCCAAATAGGTAACACTATCAGTGCTAGTGAGTGTGGAGTGTGCTGCTTCTGGTGGGAGTGTGGTTTTCTCCTTGGGTGTTTCCTTGATTCGAGGAACTATCAAGGCCATATGAACGTGACAAATAAATAAATCTGCTTGAATCAAGGAATTATCAAAGGGAAAAACCATAGCCCCACTAAAACTGGCGGGACAGGCTACTGCATATGAATACCCCACACTAGCTAGCATTGATAATGTTACCTAATCGGGTAATGAAACGCCTGCAAACGACCAAGCTCAACAAGCACCAAGGACTCCGTCATTAATTCTTCCTCAGAGAAACTCTTTCCTATCTGCCTCCCAACTTTCCAGTGTATATTTGTGCCTTCTAGGATGTTGGATCTCTCAGCTGCCTTCTGGACCTGACATTTCTGAACTCTTTTTGCCATTATATGCTAAAACTGGTATATGGAGAATCTTTTCCCAAGGAAATGTGTCCCCTGATACTTCCTCTTAAGGAAGCATCACTCAATGATAGCGCAAATACTTTTGTGTCCTAGCCACAACCTCTGTTAGCCTACAAAGTCACATATAAGACAGTGGTTATATTCTTTGTCTCTCCTTGCTTCCTCTCACTCTCAATATGTGAGAAATTCAGTGTGAGTGATTACATGTGAGGCCATTATATACACAAAACATTGGCTGAGGTGATTTCTCTCCACAGTCTTGCCTTTTTTCAACATCACTGAAGCTGGTTGCCTCTTTATCCTCTTGTTGTTGTCTTGTCTAATGCTCATGTTTTCTATTTTCCAAATAAGCTTGCCAGCCGTGACATACACGGGGATAATTTTCTTAGAAAGTGCCGAATGTGGAAGACTGACAATAAAACAGCATTCTCTAACTTAGGCCCATCGTGATAACTTGGGATCATTATCAATGGTTCTGGCTTGATAGTAACAAAAGTTGTAGATGACATTTAGAGAGCTGCAAGCTGGAGAAGATTATTACTAAGAATGGCCGTCCTCTTTGCCCTTACAGTTAAATCAGTTTGATGGCTGGTGACAAAAAAAAAACCAAGGACCAGTTGGATTTCTGATTTGATCCACTAAGTCTTTCTTGGATTTGCTTCCTTGTTTGTTTCAGAGTTATGAGGGAAGGGAAAACGTTCTCCACTTTCCAAGATCTGGAATCTGGCCTACTATAAGAGATGGTAGAATCCCTTTTCTGGAGTATTAATTTTTCTAGGATATTAATTCTTTAGCTTGTCATTTTTGAGATACTGCATTATCTCTGTAATAAATGCAGAACATATGAGAAGCAAATATGGCTTACTCAATGGTACATCTTGAGTGGCTGAGGTACAGTCTTCCAGATGGCCTTGGAATACAACTCCTTTCGTCCCTGGTGTTTAACTGTGCTAACTGATGAATATTGGAAGTTCAGCAATATTCATACATTTTAGTAGGTCTGGGAAGTTAACAAGTGCATTTGAAACTCACAAAACATCTTAGTTAACAGCTCTTTAGCCCTGTTAACTTCTCATCTTCATCCTGAGTTGAGTTCTTGTTTGGTTCCTGAATAGTAAATTTGAGCCTATGGTTCTGAATAATAGTTCTACAACATCTGAAGAGCCATGGATTTTCCACCCCATTCTATGTTTTAGGTGCACAAGGCCAGAGGCTAAAAGTTCTAGACCAATTCACAGAATTTGCACAGAGTGGATGTGCTTTGAATGTTTCACCAAGTTTGACGTTCCTCGTGTTCTGTCAGCATTCCAAATACTTGGGTTAAATTGAAGCTGGTTTCTGTTCCTGTCTATGTTTGTTAAGGTTTGAACCTTGTGAGCAACTTCCTTTTTTCCTCCTTTTCTCCTTCACATATTGTCTTAGCTCACGTGAGCTTTACGGTTTTTAATGTGCACTCTCTTTTGAGAGCATATGTGAATAGTAATTTTCTACATATGCTATTTTGGGATGTATCTTTTTGAAGCATAAATAATAAAGACAACAGCAGGGGAAAAAAAAAAGTGTGTTGGAATTTTTGTGGCTGTTTCTTTTTTCCTCCTCAACTACAGTCAGCAAATAAGATGTCACAAAGAATCAGGGACTCAGAGCATCAAGTTCTTTGAAGAATATTTACCTTCATAATAAGATACTTCAAGCAATGCCAGTCCTTGTTGTAAAAAAGACTTTGATACAAATAGGTGTTTTAACCAAGTGCTGGAGTAAATGGAGTAAAACCGGGAATGAAATTTCTCTTAGTCTAATGTAACCTATACAGAGGAGAATATTTTTAAGTGGCCCTACACTGTCTCTTAGCAGTTGTAGTTTTTATTTTCTTATAAAACAGAAAAGGCGATTGGATCCTTCAAATCTAAATCTTAAAAGAATAATACATGGCCAGAAGTTTTATATGTGTACTAGGAATGGGTAACCAAATTTAGCTGTCCTGACACCATGAAAATCAAGGATAAAACCTGAGGGGGTTGGGCGGGAAAACACAACTTTTTTTGGCATAGCAAGATTGATAAGGAGTCCTGTTCTCTGACTTTTTAGAAAATACAAACTCTTCATCAGGTCCCAAAACAGGAATTCTAAGAGTAAGCAATAAAACACAACGAGCAACATAACACAACCCATGGACTACATTATTTTCAAGAATAGAGCGTGACGATGTGGCCAAATGCTTACAAGTCAAGTATAGTATAATTAGTCCTTGACTTCTGATCAAAATGGGGACCAGAATGTCCATTGCTAAATGACACCGCTGTAAAGTGTGACATCGCATCACTGCATTGCTTAGTGACCGCAATCCCTGCAGTCCTTAGCACCATCGTAACTCCAGATGCATGGGTTGTTAAGCAGAAGTGAACAGTGTCCCAAGTAAGGAACATGAGGTTGGGAACCTTGAGATTCCTGGGCAGGCTACAAATGAGTTAGAACTGAATAAAATATACTTTTACTGCAACTCTCACTAAAGCAACATGTTAATGCACTTTGACCATATGGCATATTGCCTTATCTTACTATTCTGGCATTAAAAGATAGTTCAAAGGCTGAGAAGGCACAACCTTTGGTATCTGCCACGTAAGCCTCCTTCCAAAATCACACAATTCTTTTTTTTACATTAATCCAGACTTGGTAGATCCCAATTCTTCATAAATGGAAGGATAGCGTATACGTTAAATAAATAGACTAATTCCAACATTTTTGAATATATACAGTTTTAAAGTTAACATTTGAATTCATATACTTCCACCTTCACCTTTGGGACAACCATGACCTGCATGACAGAATGTCCATAGAGTTTAACTTCTGTGTCCTCTACCAGTGTCTGGAATTTGTGGGAATTGGGGGGAACAAATGGGTTTAATCCTGTTGGGACCATGTGGCTGTAGATTTGGGACCTCTTGGATCTCTGTGATTTCTGTCTTCAGTCTTGGAAGGAATTGGCCTTCCTTCTTTGAGACTGATTATAATCGGGGTCAACTTCGACTTGCAGCTCCTGTTCAGTTGTGGCCAAGAGGACCTTTGCACCTTCATGCGGTGCTCTGGTGACATCCATTCCTGGATCAGGCACTCTTCCAGCATGACGTCATGGAGTGTTGTTACCTTCCCACTGAAGTACCTACTGTGTTTCCCCGAAAATAAGACCAAAAGATGCATTAGGGCTTATTTTTGGGAAAATGTGTCCATATGGCTAAATGTGTCTGTCTGGCTGACAATCTTAACTGGGTTTTATTTTTGCGGGGGGGATGGGGGGTTGTAGGACTTATATTACGAGTATCCTGAAAAATCATAGAGCTTATTTTCCAGTTGGGTCTTATTTTCGGGGAAACACGGTATTTACCTATTTGCATTTGCTCCACTTTTAAGTGGTGCGGTGGCCTAAAAGTGGAGCTCTCGCCTCACAGTCAGGAGCCTGTGAGTACGATCCTAGGTAAAGGCAGATATTTCTCTCTGGGCACAATGAGAATTTATCTACTGAATAAAATTCCGCATTGGTGACAGGAAGGGCATCTGGCCAGTAAACACTCTGCTCCATTCAGTTGCCCAGACTCCACACAAGGGATTATGGGGTCATAAAAAGGAGATGATGATGATTTGTATGCTTTTAAAACTAGGGTGGCAGGAGTTGGGGCAAGGACAGGAGCTCACCCCAAGATTTGAAGCTTGAGTGTCAAATCTGGGTTGCTGACTTAGCCTCTTAGCCCCTGAGCCATAGCACTGCCCTGATCCCTGCAAGACCAACGTGAAAACCTTGATTCAGGGGTCCGGAGGCTCTCCTTCCCCATCCAGGCTCAAACAGGCTCCAGATTCTGGGATAGCACTTGGACAACTTCACCTGCATTATTGAGATATAAAATTGGGTGCTATGCCCATACTCAAGACAATGGATGGCGACACTCAGTACTCTGTAGACATTAAACAGGAGGGGGAAGAGAGAGTCAACTGCACAAGTCAAGGAGAGATCCAAACTAGAACCAAGGAGAAATTTCCTGACAGGGAGAGCAATGAGCCAGTGGAACACCTGGCCTCCAGGAGTTGTGGGTGCCACATCACTGGAGGCTTTTAAGAAGAGACTAGACAGCCATTTGTCTAGAAGGGTATAGGATGGGTCTGCAACCTGCGGCTCTGGAGCTACATGCGGCTCTTTCAGCCCTCTGCTGCAGCTCCCTGTTGGCTGATATCACCAATGGCTGGCCCCTCCCCTCTTCTCTCCGTTACTCCTCGCCTGGCCCGAGAAGGTAAGGGTGATGACGGGGGATGTAGACTCGCTCCATGTTCCGACCCAAACCTGGTTCCAAGAGAGCAAACACAAGACAAAGGCAGCAGCACAACCTTTTAATGTTTCATCTATGAATCCTGTTTCTTCACAGATAAAAGGCTGCTTCCAACTAATTAGCTCCGACAAGAAAGAGCCTTGCCAAGTTTTTGCGAGGCTGCCAGAAAGAACCATATAAGAAATAGTTTACAACACAGGAGTCTTCAAATACCAACTGTAATGTCCACGAGGCTGAGTTTCAGAACATCTTTGCTTCCTACAAAGAACATTTGCTTCACAGCTGGCTTTTATCTTCTTGAAAGGGTGGCCATTACCTTGCAGCCTTACTCCTGAGTCGCCTGTGTTGCAGCTGCTCTTTCCTGTGAGCAATCCTGCTTGCACGCGCACTTGGCACAAGTTCCTCAGAAACCTCATCGCTGCCGCCAGCCCCCACAATCTCTGAAGGCAGCAGTCCACTCCCTAATGGTCCTGGCTCGTCATCTGAGTCCTCACTCTCCTCAGCCGTCCACACCTGCTGACGGCTAAACACAACGCTCCATATTCCAGAGGTGACTGGGTGGGAGCTAATGACAGCCAGTTGGCCACGCCCACCCAGTCACACCGGTGGTTAAATTATTGGCTCCCGGTGTTTTCTGTGAGAAATGGGTCCAAATGGCTCTTTTGAGTGATTGAGGTTGCAGACCCCCGGAATAGGATCTTTTGCTAGTTTAGACTAGAAAACCTCCAAGGCCCCTTACAACTCTTGTTGCTCATGTGAGGGGCTGCACCATGATGTCTCCTGTCACCAATGATTATCACTAAACATTGAGATGGATGCAAGTCACTGCAGCACAGTGCCCCCTGCTCCTCTTCCCCCTCCCCCCTTGCTTAGGTGACATGCATATTAAAAGGCCAGCCTATGAGTAGGGACTGTCTGGCCCTTTATATTTGTACGTCTCTGAACAATTTTTGGGGTAACAAGCACATTAAAAAAAAACATGCAGAGGACATACCTCCATGCAAAACACAAAGTGTGTCTAATGCAAAGCTGTTTTTCAGACTAAATTGCTTTCTTTTTATTGCCAAATTTTATTGGGCTGCTCAAAAATTGTGTTGTTTTCCATTGTTCCTAAACACGGCAGAACGGCTGCCGATTCTCCTTCGGTTTTAAAAACTCCGATGGCTACTTTTTTTTTTTTTGTTAAATGATTGAGAGCTGCCACTAGATGTCTCTCTTTGGCTTTTTGTGTTTTGCAGACACAGAAGCCGCCTATATCCAGATTGCCTGAGTAAAATAGATTTTGGTTTCCATTTCGGCATCTAGAAAATCGAGGTTTTGGACAATGGAATAACGTGGCTCAAGTTGTTCCAGAAATTGCAATTCGTAAAAGAAGAACGAAGGAGACTAGAAATATTTTGAGAGAATATAGAAGCTATTGCTGGTTGTGGTAGGGACACATTTTGGCACGTGAAACTATCACAAAAGTCAAGCCAGAGGACATTTTAGGAGTTCCAAGTCCCCCTACCACTAGAAGACATCACGATGGAGAAGGCTGTACAAGTGGTCAACTTACAGCCATTCGTTTAGTGCCCTTTTGAAGTTACAATGCTACCTTAAAAGTGATTTATGACTAGTCTTTGCACTTATGGCTGCCACATCCACATGGTCACACTGTTTAAATTTGAGCGCTTGGCAACCTGTAGGCATTTATGATGGTTGCAGCATCCCACGTCATTGCCATTTGGAGGCCTTCCCAGCCAGCTTCCCACAAGCGAACTCAATGGAGGAAGTCCATCCTTTAAGGGTTTCGCTTAATGACTGCAGTGATCCGGTTAACAACCATGTCAAACAAAGATCCGTAAAATCAAGCACAACCTAGTAAGCAACCCCTTAGCCATGGAAATTCTGGTCCCAACCAGAGATGGTATTCAGCAGGTTCTGACCAGTTCTGGAGAAATGGTAGCGGAAATTTTGAGTAGTTTGGAGAACCGGCAAATACCACCCCTGACTGGCCCCACCCCCATCTATTCTCTGCCTCCTGAGTCCCAGCTGATTGGCTGGGTCTTCTTTTGTTGCCCTGTACAGGAAAATGGAACTGGAAAGCAGGTTAGTGGGGTGGGGAGGGAATGGGGATTTTGCAGTATCCTTCCCCTCCACGCCCACCAAGCCACGTCCACAGAACCGATAGTAAAAAAATTTTGAACTCCAACACTGGCCCCAACACCTGGACTATCTGTCCATTGTTTAAAGAAGCAGATGTT